GAGTGTTTTTGTCTGCCAGTGGTTGCTCACTATTCAATTATACTTTGGGGATTAGCATGTATTTCCCATCCTGCCTCCTCGCTCATTTGCATTCTTCCAATAGCTCCTCTCTGCTCTTTTCTCCACCTGAAGTCTCTTCCCCCTTTCCTCTGAAGAAGTAAAACTAACCCCTTTGCCTGGGTGACCTATAAAAACGCCTTCACTTTTTTTTTTCTTCTTTTTTTTTTTTTCCAGTACATATGATGAAAAGCATGAGATCACTGGGATTTTTATAGCCCAATCTGGCAGCTTTTTCAAATAACTTGGATGGTGAGATGTAATTTTAGTTTAGGTCCTTGCCTAAAAATAAAGAATAATTATTAGCACATCAGACGTGGATATTGTAAGTGTTCAAAAAGGGTTTAAATTGTTCTACAGATACCGGAGCTGCTGCCCTGTGTGAGCACAAAGGTCTGTCACAGCCCGAGTCCCATCTCTGCACTGTGAATCCCAAGGAGCTATAAGAGACCTCAACGTGTGTCAATAAATAAATCAGAAATGGGTTGTGCTGGGTGATACAGGTGGCTTTCTGGAAAAAAAAAAAAAAAAAAAAAAGCATGCTCAGAGAGTTAATAAGCAATTAACAGGAGAGATGCTGAAGTCTGAAGCAGGAGGGTGTGTTTTAAGCATTGTATTTATTATTAGCAGTAACGTGGTGGTGGTGTTTGTGCATACTAGCGAAGCCTGGCTATTAGGGAGAAGTGATGTCTGTTATTTGGAGCCACTGAAGGGCTTGGGAAAGCAGACAGAAGCCATGCTTGCATGCATGGAAGCTTGCTTGATTTTTTCCCAACCATCTCAATTGGTCTAAAAGTGGTCCGTGGCTGCTCAGACCTTGCATAGAGGCTCTGGGGTGCCTTGGTGCTCGGGGCTGATAGGTTTGCCAGCAGCAGCTCCAGCAGTGTGTGCTCCCCGTGTATCTGCCCTCTCTGGGAGCCGCAGCTGTGCCCACAAAAGGGTGCGCAGGCACCTATTTTGTAGCAGCGAGTTGTATTTTTGTCGTCGGTTGGGAGACAATGTCTGCAGTGCAACCACCTCACTCTGGTGATCTGTCCACACCCCCTTCTGAAAGAGTTCGTGGTGTCCCTTGTCCCCCAGTAAGGACAAGGAGCATGTCACCTTGCCACAGAGGAGTCCCATTCTTAGCAGCTAATTTAGAGCACTGGGAAGTAGTGCCCTGAAATCGCCTGAACCTTGCCTGAAGGCTCAGCGCAGCGGCTCCTGAGCCCTTCAAACAAATCTGGGTTAGCGGAGGACTTTGCAGCCAGGGTGCTCTGCTCCCCTCTGCTGCGATGGGCAGCCAGTGATAGTCCTGCCCCAGGGAGGAAATATACGGTGGGGCTGGGAGCGGTGACGGCTCTGTAGGACCACGGCTTGTGCTGCTCTGTGGTGGTATAAGAGCTGTCGATTCTGCTTTGCTGCCAGGAGCCTTCCAGCTGGGCTTTTCATGGTGCTGGGCTTGCACTGATGAGCCCTTGGGAGAAGGGCTGGAGCCCGTGTCTAGCCCATGAGCATCCCTGGTCTCCTGGAGATGCTCAGCTCTGTCTGGAGTCAGTGCAGGGGCTGCAAATGCCTTTTCCCTGTCCCTTTGGGAGGCTAGTTGGATACCAGGCATCGGGACTTGAGGAGTAAAAGCTGAAAGAGGGTCTTGGGGTCTCCAGTGCAGCATTTGGCACAGTGTGTCCTCTACACTGGTGTTTTGGGGAGCGCTGGGTTAACCTGCTTTCGCTGACAGGTTGCATGAAAGAGATGAAAGCACCTGTGCTGTTCTCTCTCCCACATGCTGCTGAGTGGCCGTGCTTTATCGTACTTATTGATTTTGATCTTACAACCAATTTAACAACGCAGCTCTCCCCAGCCTCTTGGTGCTCCTGACTTAATTAAGCCCCTTTTCTACTATCCCATCAGCCCTGTGTGTAGTGAGTGCTGGGGCACGGGGAAAGGGAAAGTGCTATCAAGGGTAAAAGCAGCCTGATACACAGGGAGTTGTGGGCAATGCTGGGGTGTTGCATCCTGACTGCTGCTGGGACCGGGTTTTTGCAGCAGACCCCTTGTGCCAGGCCAGGGAGGAAGAGGAGACTAGGAAAAGGAGTTGAAAGAACCTGGTTTACTGATGTGAGAGCGTTTTTGCTGCCGGGGTATCCTAGGAAACCCAGCCTTTCTGGAGGGGCAGGTTGGTACCTGCTATACCTCGGGGAGAGGGGGAGAGAAAGAGTGCTAATTGCTCAACGCGCTGGAGAGCTGCTCTGGCCTGTAATTAGACGAATTAGTGGAACAATGACCCAATTTCCATCGGGTTTTGGATTGCTGCAAACAACCCTGAGGTTGCTGCTTCCCTCTGTCCTGCTCTCCTCCCCATCCCCTCCTCTTGCATCCCCTGCTCCTCTACTGCAGCCCTCCATCCTCCTCCTCCTCACCTAGCACCCAGGGGATGGAGCCTGGATAGGAGAGGAGGCCATAAGGTCTGGCACCGCTGCCTGTGCTCCCATGGCTCTGCTGGCATCGCTGAGCCACGGCATCCCCGAGCCACACCATCCCCGCTCTCCAAGCAAGTACAGGGGCCCCATGGATTTCCGCTGCTGGACTCGGTGTGCACTGGCTCCTTTCTGCCTCAATTTGTTTTCCAGAGATGGGCTTGAAAAAATCTTTGTGTTTTAAAAGAAAACCTCTGGAGTCCATTCTGTGCCTGCCGGTTGCTTTCCAAGGTCATCAAACTTTCATTACTATAGATTTTTGAATGCATGTGAGGTTCTTGGCTCCTTCTCAGCAATCCCAGAGGTGGGACTCTAAGGAAGCTCTATGTGTGGAAAAGCCAGAGCAGCTGGTGGCTGGAGGTGCTGCCAGGGAGCATGGGTGACCATCAGGGGAGCGACCCCCATCTCTGGGGCACCACCTCTGGTCCACTTGCCGCCTGCCTGCAAGGGAGATTAAACTCACACAGCCATGATGAGCAGCATGTCGGCAGTGTTGAGACCCCAGAGTGCGATTGCATAGCATGAGTGATGGCCAACGCTGTGGTATAGAGCTGTCCCTAGCCTTCCTGGCATGTGTGGGGGGCATCAATGGGGGGCTGCCAGTGCTGGGTGGCCCCTGGGTGGCTTTGGCTGACCGTAGTGGCCCATGAGCTTTGGTGCCAGCATCAAACGGGGATTTGGGAGGCATCGAATCTCTGTACCTGCCCAGGGACATGGTCTTCCTTGTGGCTTCCCCCAGCCTGGCGTGAGAATATGGCTTTTGGCAGCAGGGTGGTGAAGGGCTTTGCCTGGATTAACTGCTGTCTCTTTGTCTGCCTGCAGCATCCTTGCCACCGCTGGGACGCACTTCAACACCCACGTGGACCTGCGGACTCTGCGGGCCGTGCGCGTGCTCAGACCTCTGAAGCTTGTCTCGGGCATTCCCAGTAAGTTGCATGCTCCTAGTCCTTCTCCCAGGGTGTCCACATCTGTCCCTGATGTCCTTCAGAGCGAGATGGGTCCTCGTGCCACTTCGGAGACATAGGGTGTAGTCAGGGAAGAGGGAGACAGGAAGAGGGAAGAGTTCCCCTGTGTAGTGGGAACTCTTGGATGGCAGTGTTTGGTGTCCCTGGGTGGAATTTCCCTGGTCCCTGCCCAGCCCGCTCTCTGCTGATGCAAGGCAGGGCTTGGTGGCTCACCAGGGCCTGCCGGCAGCTCTGCTTCCCTGGCCAGAAGGCGGTGGGTGGATCCTTTCAGGACTGAGGTTTATTCAGGGGAGATTTTGGTTTTTTGCAAGGTTTCATCTGCTGGTACAGGGATAAATAAAGAAACTAGGCTGCTGCCAGCACCGATCTTCCCGTCCCTCCTGCCCTGGGCACCGTCTGGGCCGTGTGCTGGATCTGTGCCCTGGGGGCAAAGAGTGGGACAGAGCTGCATGGGCCTTGTCCCACTGAGTCCAGGTGGAACAAGGGCAGGCAGGGCACCAGAGGGGGGACCAGATCCAGAAACCAGCTCTCCTGGAGCCTTGGTCTGCAGCCTGGCTCTCTCTGCTTCCCCTGGGATGGTGCTTTCCTCCATGGTCCTCAGCTGCCCAAAGGGATCCTCCAGACTGTGCTGGTCTCTTGTACCTGTCTGATGACCATCCATCCTCTCTGCTCACTGTCCTCCTCTTCCCAGAGGTGGGATGGACATGCCCCAGGCAGGGGGTTTGCATCACCGTGCTGAGCTGTGCTCTTTTCTTTCCCCTCCCAGGCCTGCAGATTGTGCTGAAATCTATCATGAAGGCCATGGTGCCTCTCCTCCAGATTGGCTTGCTGCTCTTTTTTGCTATCCTCATGTTTGCCATCATTGGCCTGGAGTTTTACAGTGGGAAGCTGCACCGAGCCTGCTACACAAACAATTCAGGTAGGGAGAAGGGCTCTGTAGCCGCACCACATCCCATGGGTGAAAACAGCTGTGGCAAGTGCATGTTGCTATTGTGGGAAGCCCAGGGCTGAAATCCTGCATTTTGCTGCATGTGTCCTGTCCTGGGAAATCCTGTCCCAGTTTCTTATGGGAGTAGCTTGCGTGCGGCCAGGGCTAGTCTCAGTGGGGTCCTCTGCTCTGGCCCAAGCCCACCTGCATTCAGGCTCTTCCCCTTGCCTGTCCCCTGCTCTCTCTTACCTCTGCCTCCTTTGACTCTCTGTTGTGTGCTTGCAGGTGAACTAGAGGAGCTGGACCCCCCCCATCCGTGTGGGGTGCAGGGTTGCCCCCCAGGCTATGAATGCCGGGAGTGGATCGGTCCCAATGACGGGATCACGCAGTTCGACAACATTCTCTTTGCTGTGTTGACCGTCTTCCAGTGCATCACCATGGAAGGGTGGACCACAGTCCTGTACAATGTGAGTAGCGCTACTCTGGGGTCTCTTTGGGCAGCTGGAGATGGGGAGCTGGAGATGGTATTTCTGTGTCCTGGGAGCTTGTGAGATGCTGAGTTTCCTTTGTGATGGAGATGGGGTCAGTCCACCCCATCTGGGCAGGAGATGGCGAATGAAGAGGTGTATGTCACACGTAGAGTGAAGGGAGCTTTAAGGGCTTTGGCTCCCATCCCTGGGCTGGCTGTGCAACCTGCTACAGAGAGCAAAACTTTGTGAGCACGGGCTGCAGCAAGCCTCCTGTGTGAGGGCTGTCCCTCAGGATTGGGGGAGGTATCCTTCCTTCCTCCTCCTCCTCCTCCTGTGCTCCCTAGGGCAGCTCTGTAAGAGCGGACATGGTTTCTGGGCACCGTGTGTCTGCTCTCTCTTGTGGACCATGCAGGGTATGTGCCTGCATGCCTGCAGTGGCCTTGGGAAGCCCCAGAGCTGGGCTTGGACCCCCTCCCTGGCGCAGGGGCAGTGTTTCAATGTCCTATAGGGACCTGGTACCTTTGGTGTTTGTGTTGCAAACATCTGTTGGTGCTGATGGAGCAGGCAAACAGCTGGGCTGAGTTCCTGTGGCTTGAAGTTGTTGATGCCCAAGCCCGTGAGGTGCTCAGGGAGCAACTTGGGGGCAAAGCTGGAAGCAGGAAAAAAAGCTACAGGCGATCACAAAGTGCAATATCTTTGTGGGCAATTGGCCATGTACATATGTTTTAGTTTATGGACTAGAAGCAGCCGCGCCAGTTGTTCCCAGCCTAATTTCAGCATCAATTTTGGCGTCATTGCACCGGGAATGTTTTTATACCCTGGTTCCCATAATGCTGGAGGTTTGCAGAGTGGCATAGCTCTGCAGGAGGCAAACTGGATGTCTTGGGATGGGGAAAAAAGCTTTGATAGTTACTTTGTTGTGAGCAGAAAGGATGGGTTTTAACTCCAGGTGAAGGCACTGTGCTGCCAGTGTTGGGGTCCCCCTCCCACTTGGTCCATCCCAGAGTCCTTCTAGGGGTGTAAGAATGTGTGTGTGGGTGAATGGACTGTGAAACCTAGACTGGGGTAGAAAGGGGAAAGTTCATGGCAAGGGCTTGACTTTACCAATGAGGATTTGGTTTTCTTCTTCCTAAAGGACATGGCAGTATCAGGATCTTGCTGCTTCAGTGAGGGAATTAGGCAGGATTGAACCACCTGGGTGTTCAGACTGAAAAAAAGACCATTTTTGACTGCTTCTGGTGTATCAATGGGATTAGAGACTTAACTACAGTGCCTATTGACCAGGCATAATTAAGTATAGCAGGAAAGGTGAATTTTCCTGCCTGGCGGCATGGTTCCCCTGCCTTTAGCATGGCTGGGCAGCTGCTGCCTGCCCACACTGCCGTGCGTACGGCAGCCCGTGCGTGCCCAGCACTGCCCGTGTTTGGAACCAGCAACCTGCCCTGTACCTTGTTTCTCTTGTTAATGACTGGCTTTCTGTGAAGCCCAGGGGCTGCTTCCATCAGTGCTCCCCATGTCCCCTCCTCCCCATCCTTCAGCGCCTGCAGCAATTAGCAGCAGCACTCCACGTGCTGGAGCTCTGGTTGCAGTGTGCGAGGAGCCAGTGAGCTACATGGACAGGCAATTTATGATCTGATTGACCGTGAGGGTTAGTACCAGCTGTTCCTGAGAAAGTCTGATCTCCTGCCGTTTAGGGTGTCCTTACTGGGAAGGCTGGAGCTGATCCATTTGATATTTGGGATTTGCTGATCCACTGTCTCGATCTTACTGGGGAATAAGGGTAGGAGATGCTGCTGGGAGCACTGAAAACCATGCTTTGCAGGACCTACCCTGCAGGACACCCTGTTTACCACCATAGCTACTAAACTGGGGGCTCTCTGAGTCTCTTGGGGAGCCACAGTCCCAGTATCCAAATGCTCTTCCCAGCACCAGTTGCAACACCAGGCAGACATGCTCTGTCATGGTGTCCCCGATGTCCGGGACCGTAAGGTCCCTCCCTTTCCTGCTCCTCTGCAAAGGACCAGCTATTACTTACCTACAGTTGAAAGGATTAGGGACCTTCCTTGGCTTTTAATTGAATGAGGATTGGGGCCTTGATAGTAAAATGCTGCTGATTCATTTTGGGAGGCGGCGAGGGATGGACACTCTTCCCAGCACTGTTGGGCTGTGCCTCCTGCCCTTCTCAGTGTCAGGGGCTGTCTCACAGGGTGCCTCTAGGCCACTAAGGCTAGGGGTGCTCAGTCCTTTTGCTGCTTGGAGGCAGAAAAATGGGCTTCGGCCTTTTTTTTTAAAAGGAAAATGAGGCATACGCATGGGGGATGTGGTCCCTGGTGGATGCTGGAGGAGGGCTGGGCAGGGTGAAAAGCCACTGGGGTGCTCTGCCATCACCTTCACCACTCAGAGCAGCAAACCAGAGCAGGGTCCCACTGCTAACCAGCATGAACCTTGCCCAGTGCGTGCCCCAGGTTTGGGGGGATCAGCAGGGAACTCTCCTTTCCCACTGGGGTAAAGTGATGGGAGGCTGTGTCCTTGCAGGTTAAGTCCGCAGAGGAGAGGGAGATCGCAGGAAAACCACTTTAGCAGTCTCTCAAAGAAATTGCTTACTACAGTATTCCCCTGTGTAACTGTATTGTGATTTTAAGATCTATTTTCCCACAATTTTAGTGGGTCTAGAGGCGTAGCTCCTGGAATTTGTAGATAGCATCACGAAAAGCTAATCGGCCCCGTGGTACTTTCCACATGTGTTATTTCATGGATGAGCTTGCCTTTTGCATTGTTTTCATCAGTCTGGCCTGTGTGAAATGCTGTTTTGCTAGGTAGAAATCACAGTATGGGTTAAAAAAAAAAAAGAAAAGAAAAAGCTTTAAACTGTGGGGTGTTATGTCTTTTCCAGCTCCCGTGCCCGAAGGACTTTGATTTCTTTTAGAGGGGAGTTTTGGCTTTGTGGCTCCTCTGGCTGTCTCTGTGGTCCAAAACAGGGACTAAGGAGTGTTTTGCTTTTCTTATACTGGAGCAGATGCCCCTTCCCTGGGCTAGCTCGAGACCAAACCTGATGTCTGTAGGGACCAGAGGGAAAAATAATGCTGGCAAAGAGGCTCGCTGTCCTAGTTCTCTGTCTCTGCCAGTGTGCTGGCACAGGGCAGGGGCTGGGTTGCAGTTTTGTCATTAAACAGTGATGCTGGGATCCAGGACGGGGTGTCAGGGCTGATGAGGGGCTGCAGGTGTGTGCCATGGGGCTGGCTGGGTATGGCATGGGTGCTCAGTGGTGCTGGCAGCTTTGGATGCTCAGCCTGGCTCCCCTGGTCCCAGAGAGCAGACAGGAGAGGAGTGTGAAATCCTTTCCTCTGAAACGATGACTTGAGAGGCTGTGTTTACTCATCGAGCTTGTTTATTTCATTTGCTTTCCCGTTTGGTAGTGCTCAGCCACTGTGCTTGCAGGTAGCGAGGAGGAGCCTGGCTTGCTGGGAGCTGCCACTCTCCTCTTCCCCCCACGCTGCCAGGAGCTGAGATGGGAAAAAACCCACCCATGGCAAGCACGTGCTGCAGCCGTGGGCTGGCTTGGTGGGCTGTGCAAGGGAGAGGGGCTCAGCCCTGCCTGTCCCGGCTGGGTCCCTTGCCTGGCGCACCGCTCTGTGCTCTCCGGAGCTGGTGACACCAGATAGGCAGCATGGGAACCACAGCTCTCAGTCAGGAATTGGTTAGTCCAGGACAAACGAAAACGCAAGTGCATGGAGAAGGCTGCTGTTCATAGCTGTGGGATTGATGTGAACATGGATGAATGCAGGCAGGGGAGCCACGGCTGCCGGCACCTCCTGCCAGCGTTGCTCACGGGGACTGAGGCTGCCACGAGGTGCGAGCCGCTGCAGTTGTGAGCGGTTGCTGAGGTTGCATGTGGTTGCAGGGGGCCCACAGGTACAAGCGTGGGCACATGTCCAGCCGTGGCCCTGGGAACCCTCGGCTCACTCGGGGAGAGGCTCCAAGCACTTCACAAATGCGGCGGGGCAGGTGCAGAGAACCAGAGCCTGCAGCGTGGGGAAAGCCAGTTTCCCTGCATGGACCTGGCTGTCAGGTTTAACTCCTGGTCCTAATGTTGTGGCTCCAGTAAATTCCCGAGAGTTGGAACAACCTGCAGACAGGCAGGAGTGCCTGCACGGCAGTGATAACCAAGCTGCAGCCGGGCCATGCAAAGAGCTGACACGACTTTGCAGAGGGCCACAGCTGTTAGCAGCAATGAGTAAAACCATTTGCCCCCTAAGCACACATATTAAAGCAGCAGTAGAAGAGCATCCATGCTGCTAATTAAAAATGCATAGCAAGGCCTAACAGGAGCTAGCCAGCTGCAGTTGCTTGCTGTAAACCCAAAAAGCCTCTTGTGGCACAAGGGAGTGGGACTATAGGGAAGCAGGAGGGCAAAAAGGTACAGGGAGCCTTAGGAGATTCCGGGGCTGAGTGCTGGGAGCCTTCTGGGTACTTTTGCAGCAGGAGGAGAGCATTTGCTGGGGGGAAGACAATCAAGTCCTTGGCAGCTTCCAAAATACCTGCTGAAAAGCAGTAGTTGTGGGCAGATCTGTGTGCTGTAGACTCAGGGGAGATGGGGCATGCAGGTCTCCTAGCCCTGTGCAAAGCTGAAGAGCCACCTGCAAGCAGCCAGACGGTTGCAAAGGCGCTCGTTGGGCGCGAAGCACGCGCTGTGTGCGCAGAGCCCGGCAGCAGAGGCTCTGCAAGAACGGCTGTGAAGCGTGAGCTGCTGCAAGGAAGGGGGTTTGTAGCGAGCGTGACTCAACCACCATGTGCTTCCAGCACGCCCAAAGCGCTGCGGCCAGGAGGGTGCAAGGGGAGGACACCCTGTGGGAACGCTGGCACCCAGCACCGTCCCTGTGTGTGGGTTCTCCTCTAAATATGGGGTGAAGAAGGACCAAGATGAATGTCACCACGTACAAGTTAAGTCTCACCACATGCAGAGGTTGGGGTTTCATGCCGCTGGGTGTGGGGCTTGG